CTCTTCTTTTCAAAGAAGAAATCATCTTTCAAAAGAAAAGAGTCTTAAAAACCTTTTTCAAAACAATCTCCTAAGAAGAAAAATTTTAGAAGAAAAACTTCAAATGTTACATGCTGGAAATGTAACAAATCAGGTCATTATTCGAATAAATGTCCTCTAAAAAGCAAGGTTAGTAATCTTCAATGAGATGAAGAAATTAAACTTGAGCTTCTCAATCTTGTCAACTCTGAGTCTGACTCTTCAAATTCTGATATTGAACAAATTTATGAAAATGAGGAAACTTCTGATTCTGAAGAAAGTTCGAGATCATCTTCTTCCTCTTCTCAAAGAAAAGAAATTTGTGGTTGTAAAACAATCAANCAAGAAAGTTCTGATTCTGATAAAAACTCAAAACCATCTTCTTCCTCTTCTCTGAAAAAAGAAATTTGTGGTTGTAAAACCATAAATGTTCTTACTAAAGAAGAACTTATCAAAGATATTATTGATTAAATACCCGATCAAAAATTGAAAAACAAATTTAATTCTCTTCTTCCTTCAACATCTATTCTTAAAATTTTCAATCTTCAAGATGTTCTTAATCGTATCTATGATATCTAGTTCTAATCTTCGATCAGAAGCTAATATCATGAAACCTCAAATTTCAAATCTTGAAAAACAAATTCGAGATGTCAAAATGGAAGTAGTTCATCTTCAAGTTGATAAACTTGAAAAAAACAGTAGTTCTGAATCCTCTTCAAGTAGTGATACTTCTCACGCTTTTCATCCAAATTTCGATTCAAGATCTCAAAAATCTTCAAGTTCCAGATCTCAAAAATCTTCAAAATCTAGTAAAAAATCTCATAAATCTTTTCATCCTCTAACTGAAGAAGAAAATGTTAAAGTTAATTCAAGAATTCAACTTTAAAAATGGTATTGTAATATGCCAATTATTAATAATAAAGAATTCAAAATCTATCATCAAGTCTTATTTGATTCTGGTGCGTATCAAAATTGTATTAGGGAAGGTCTTATTCCCACAAAATATTTTGAAAAAATACTGAAAAACTTTATGGAGTCAGTGATCGAAAACTTGATATTCAATACAAGCTTTCCAAAACACATGTATGTCATTCAAATATTTGTTTCAAAAAAATATTTATTTAGTCAAAGATCTCTGTCAAGAAATTATTCTTGGTACACCACTTCTTATTCAAATTTATCCTTTTACAGCAGATGTTAAAGGATTAACTACAACAATTTTTGGAAAGAAAATTACTTTTAAATTTGCAAATCCACCTTCTTTTAAAGATATTAATACTTTAAAAGATGCTTCAATTTCAAAAATTATCAATAATATTAATTTCAAGAAAAATCATATCCAAATTCTTCAAGAAAAAATTCGATTTTAAAAAATTTGGGGGAGATTACAAGATTCTTTAATTATTCAAAAAATTTCAGATTTTCAAAAACCAATTGAAAAAGAAATATGTTCAATTATATCAAATGCACTTTTGGATAGAAAAAGGCATATTGTTTCTCTTCCATATATTCCAGAATTTCAAGAATC